AGGAATGGGCTCTGGGTGAGCCAGAATGGTGGTGGCTTGTGCATGCTGCCTCTGTAGCAAAGCTCCTGGGTGGCTGGATTTGACCCATGAATCAACACTGTGAATATATTTCCCCTCTGTTTTGTTTTGTTTTTTTTTTTGTCTGCGTTTCTTTTCCAACAGAAACAACCAGATAATGCTGTTGGCACCAAAATGAAGCACTAGCTTTTGCTAGCCTGTCTCACACATGGTGGTGTGCATTGATTTCATGTCCCTGGCCTTTTACACTGAGCTCTTCTAACTCGCCTGTCATCACAGTATCTGGGTAGCAGCAGGGGATTGTAGGACAGTGATAGGATTTGAGTTGTTTTCATTATTTACCTTGTTGTTTGTATTATTTACAGTCATCGCTAATTATGCCAGAGCTTTGAGGTGGGCTGGGAAGGGGATTTGTGGTGCTGCTGACCGTGGCTCTTGCTGCTGGGCTGGGTGTGCACCAGGAGCTGAAACTTTTGCCTTGGATGGAGCTGGACATGGCCCCATCCTGCTGCCAGATTAAGTTTAAGTTTAATCTTTCCCATCCTATGAAGATACTCAGACTGTGCTGCCACTTTATTGGAGTGTTTGGAGGTGAAGGCTGCAGAGATACCATTTTTATTAATCCCACAGTTTAATCCTTCCCATCCTATTAAGATACTTAAGCAGGGGCACCCCCCAGCTTTGGTTGGGGATGGGCAGAGGTGATGAACCTTGTACCTGGAGGTTGCAGAGGAACCAGTGGTTTTTGTCACTATGGCAAGAAATGAAAGGATTACTGGGGTCCTGTCCCGCAGTAATCACACCCTGGTGACTCTGTCCCACTGCCCTGCTGAATCAGGCAGGGATTGGGAAAGCAGGGAAGTGGGACTCTGTCCCATTTTTATCCTAAATAGAGGGGTTTTCCACATCCACTATTTTTTTTGCAGAGTCTGGGACACATGTGAGTGCCTGGCAGTGAGCTGTGTGTCCTGCCTGCCGCCCCCTTGGCTGGGCTGCTTTGCTCTTCAGGGGGTAAGGGTGGCTCGGGGAGGTGCAGCCCAGCTGACCCCATGGCGCTGAGGGGTTTTGCACAGCTTGATTCTCTCCTGAACTGGCTGCACTGGTACACACTGGTGAGCTCGCCACGGCCTGTTGGTGCCCTCTGCTAAGCCAGATGTAGTTGGCAGGGTTGGTCGCACCAAGTGCCGGAGGGGCAGCGTTGCTTGTCCCGTGTGGGCTAAACGCAGGCAGTCAAGGACAGCCAGAAGTGCTGGTGTCAAACCTTGTGTTGAGGGGCTGTGTGCCCCTGAGAAGTGGCATCGCAGTCTCTGCTCCCTGAGAACCTGCTGTGGCACAAGGCTTTCCCCATCCAGGTGGCCCTGGTGCCACTCAGGAGATGGAGGGGCCCAGGGACTTGCTGGAGGGCAGCGAGTGCTCCAACTTGGTCCCTGAGGAGTGGCTGAGCCCTCCTAAACCTGAGACCCTTTTCCAGGGTTCCTCTTGCAGGGGGTTAACACGGTGGCACTATCAGCTCCAGCCTGCCATCTGTGAAGTTGTCCTTCCCTAGGAGGAGGTCTCCAATGTCACCCTGATCGTGTGTCAGCCCTGCTTGTTGGCTGGGCAGGAGGGATGGAACACTCACTTCACCAGCTCTTGGTGGGGAGAGACAGGGGGGTAGTACAGAGGCCTTCATAACCTCATTTTTTGCTGGGAAGACTCATCACCATTTTATGGAGAGGGATTTAGGAGCAAGGAGGAACCCCCCTAAGTGCCTGGGCATCTCCAATGATGGCCCTTGGCTCTCTGCCTATGCCTGAACCCCTAACCAACACTGCCCACCTTATTTTTCTTAATGGAGCTTCTCCACAGCTGGCCACAGCCCACAGATGCTCTCTGCACTACCTGAACTCTTTTTTTTTTTTTTTTCAGTAGGACAGACCAAATGTTTGGAAGGAGCCTGAGACCCTGCAGGATGGGCAGGGGCTGGTGGGGGTGGCTCACCCCAGGGTGGCAGCTGCTGCCTGCTTGGGCACTGTTTGTCTTTCCTGGCCCCTGCTCTGTAAGTCAACACCCCACAGGCTGGTGCAAAGAGGATTTCAACGAAACCTGAAGCTTGAGAGTGGAGATTATGCTGCAGAAGGGGCCTGGGAGACTGTAAAATATGCACTCCCACAATCGCCAAAGAAGGAACTGGATTTTCTCCCTGGGGAACAGGGTCATCCCTGGTCTCACTAACAGTGTCTGAGCAGGGAGCTAAGTGCCTTGAAGACAGGTCACTCCGTTCTATCTCAGCCCAGCCCTGATGAGCCTTCCCAGGACCCTGGGAGTGCTCGCTGATCTGGCATGAGCTGCTTTTCCCAGTCCTTCAAGGTGTTTCTACCAAGGTCCTGCTGGCTCTTAGCAGGGTCTCATACCTGGGGTGCAGCCCCACCATGGTGAGCATGATCCTCTGTGTGTCCCCGGTCATATGACACTGTGTGCCCTCTTGAGCTGTGTCTGGACGAGTGTGGTAGGGTGGTTTTTTGGGACAGAACTGGAGGAACCCTGCACTGTGCAGTGTGGCACAAGCCCTGGGACCACAGACAAGCTCTATGTCAGGTCCACACAGTTGTGGGTGCAGGTACAGGGGCAGGCTGTGCTATGGTCAGGCACTCCCCTTGGGGGTCTAGAGCCAGTTCTGGAAGCCTGTGAGTGACAAACTGCAGAATGGGATGAAGGGGACTCTCACCAGGCCAAGAAGAGCTCTGCCCCTGCAGCTTGTGTGGCTGCTGCCACCCTCAGCACAGCCCAGGCTCCAACCCTGTGACGTTGGATCCCTGCTTGGGATGCAAATCCAGACCCTATCCACTAACTGGCTTTGGGTTTGGACAAGTGTCCCCTGACACCCCAGCCCATTTCTGAGGAGCTGTGGAAAGGAGCTGTGAAATCCTGCCAGCAATGGCACTCAGCCTTGCCCTCTGCCCTTTTCCCTCCTAGCAAGTGGCTGCTTTTCCCCACGGGTAAGCACTAGCAGAATTGGGGCTCTTCTCTTCCAGGGAAGGTGGATACATCTGCTCTAGGGCAGCTCTACCCTGCAGCTCAACTTCCTTCTCCGGCTCCCCCCCCTGTCCCAGGAGCGAGCTGCCTTTTCACCCATCCCTCTCCTCTCCCGCAGGCACGTACCAGGGCCAGTTCAGCAGCGGCATGCGGCACGGCTACGGCGTGCGCCAGAGCGTGCCCTACGGGATGGCCTCCGTGGTGCGCTCCCCGCTGCGCACCTCGCTCTCCTCCCTGCGCAGCGAGCACAGCAACGGCACCCTGCCCCAGCAGGACTCCCCTGCTGCCAACCCCGAGAGCCTGCCCCTCTCGCCCACCATCACCCGTGGGGGCTTTGCCCTCAGCCTCTACGCGGAGGCGGAGGCCGGCAAGCCCAAGAAAGGGGGGCTGTTCCGCAGGGGCTCCTTGCTGGGCAAGCTGAAGAAATCCGAGTCCAAGTCATCCCTGGCCAGTCAGAAGAGCCGTGTCAGCTTCCTCAAGAGCGAGAGCGGGATCAGCTCGGCTGCCAGCGATGCCACCTCCACCGTCAGCCTGGGTGAGGGCGCCGAGGGCGAGGAGTTCACCCCCTTCGAGTCCGACATCGACGCCACCACCACGGAGACCTACATGGGCGAGTGGAAGAACGACAAGCGCGCCGGGTTCGGCGTCAGCGAGCGCTCCAGCGGGCTGAAGTACGAGGGCGAGTGGCTGGACAACCTGCGGCATGGCTACGGCTGCACCACCCTGCCCGACGGCAAGAAGGAGGAGGGCAAGTACCGCCACAACGTCCTCGTCAAGGGCATGAAGAAGCGTGTCATACCTCTCAAGAGCGCCAAGATCCGGCAGAAGGTGGACAGGAGCGTGGAGGGAGCTCAGAGGGCCGCGGCCATCGCCCGGCAGAAGTCGGAGATCGCGGCATCCAGGTAGGGCGCTCGGGGGTCTGCCCTGCGGGTCCCAGTGGTGGTGGTTCCTGTCCCGCGTGTTCCTCGGGAGCTGTGCTGTGTGCCTCCTTGCTGTGTGCCAGTGGAGGGGTCAAGCAGGGCTCTTTGCAGCATCTACTTCATTCTTTGTACTCAAGGCTGGAGGAGCAGGGCTGAGCCCTCATGGCAGCTTGGTGGTGTTCAGGACCTGTCCTGTTTCTCATCCCTTCTCTTGTCCCTCTGTATCCCTAGTCCAGGAAGGAGCTGCTGGACAGCAGGGAGTGGTACTGGCCCTGGCATTCAGTGGGATGGGGAGCAGCTTGATGCTGTGCCAGGCTGCTGGAGCTGCTGGGTGTCATTGTTGGGGCAGGATGAGAAATGGTGGGGTTTGGCTGTGGTAAATTCAACAGGCTTGTGAGCAGCTGGCAAGACTCATCCCAGATGAATTGGGTCTGCAGCAGAGTGTGACTCTGGCCCAGAGACCCCAGTGTGGCTCTGTGGGGAGTTTATGAGGTGCATTCGAGTTGTCACATCTATTGGCTCAGTGTAATGGGATCCCTGGGACAAGCACTGCTGTGTTGAGATGCTGCGAACTGGGAGACAGGACCTGTGATGGATACTGAACCAAGGAGGGGGCTGCCTTGAAGAGTTGCATCTGCCCCCCAGGACCCAGCTGCCCTCAGCCAGGTTTGGAGCACGGGTTTCTGCCATCAGGGAGGAGGCACTGGCAGCTCAGCCCATGCTGGGTGACCGAGCCCAATCCCACAGCACACAGCCCACAATGCTTAAGGATGCCAGGAGAGGAGAAAGCGGGGAGGGCTCAGCCAGGTTTGCCCCTTTTGTCCCTCCAGTTTGTCCTACTTGAACCCCAGGGGTGGGAAGGGGGCTGTGGCAGCCAGCAGCGTGCCTAGGGATGTGTGCACATGGGCGTGCAAGGGGGCAGTGGGTGAGGGGCTGCTGAGAGCATGTGGCAGCATCTCATTGCACACCCTTGCACAAACAGGCATTTTCTCTGTCACCTTTCCTAGGATGGAGGAGGGAGGAGATAAAAGAAAGGCTCCAGAGTCTGCCTGGGAAGGGCAGAGCTAAACCTCCTTTTCCTGCTTGCATCCCTGCCTGCATCCAAGCTATGCTGGCAGCAGGCCCCCTCTCCCACAGCATCCCTGCCAGTCTTGGAGCTGGTCCGGCAGGGACCAGAGGTCGTCATGAAGAGTCAGAGCCTTCGCTCCTTTCCTCTTCCTCAGGGAAACACTGTTGTGAGAGACCTGGAGGTTTCACCTTGCCTCTCCATTGAAACCTGGCCCTGCGCAGCCTTTGCTCAGGCTGCTGGGCAGTGGCTGGGACTCCAGGGCTCCTTTTGCTCCTTTTTAGTGCTGTTTAATTAGCAAAGTTCCTCATTACCAAGCAGAGAGGGGAAATAATGGCAGCACGAAGGGTGCCTGTTCCCAATCCCCATCCTTCCCCTCCAAGAAACTCCAGCTCTGCTCTCTGGTGGCCATTTCTGCTCCAAAATTTTGTGGGGAGGGTGATTAATTTTTAGCAAAACCCAGTTACCTCATAGACTGGCAGAGGAAAAAGAGTGGGTTTGGAAGTGAAACTCTGTGCAGGGCCAGCCAGGATAAAAATAACAGGTTGGGGTGGTGTGGAGCTGCTGGGTCCTCCCTGCTGTGCCCAGGAAAAGCAAGTGGCCATGGTGCTGGGTGCCCGTAAATAAGGAGGCTGGAGCTGTGAAAGTGGCTCCCCGAGAGCACGGCTGGTTTACACAAGCTTCTTTTTATTAACCACTATTTAAACTTTGGATCAGAAGCAGCTCTGCAGTGTTTTCCATCGGGGCTGGAATGCGCCCGCTGCCCTGACGGGGCACTGCATCCCTCCCCTGCGTGGCTGGGGAATAATTTCCTATTAAGGAAACTCTGGAGCTGGAGGAAATAAAGACGTTAAAGCCGGATTCCTCCAGGGAGTGCTCCCCTTGCAGACCCCGGGGTAGTTGCAGGGGAAGAGGACATGCTTTCCCCAGTGCCCCTGTCTCTGCAGCACTGCCTGCAGCTGAGCTGGACCTGCTACAGAGGGAGAATTTGGGCTCCTCTGTCCTGTAAACTATAACTCACAGTTTCCATCAGCATTTATTCCTGGTGTGTGTTGCTCTGGGCAGAGCCATTCTCTCTATCTGCTGCTTTCTGAAAATCTGATTCATGTTCTCCTTCCTCCTCCTTTCAGCTCAGTTTTGCAGTCAAGAGTAAATACAGGTATTTTTGCCTTGAGGGGGTCCTGAGGTTAAATCCCAGCTCTGGCACTGACTTTCTCTTTGGCTTTGAACCTTGCCTCTGTTTCCACACGCAGGACAAAGAGTGATTGCAGACAGACTGTTAAAAATCGATTACTGTGGTTTATGAAAAGGATGTTCTATGATTAGCATTGCCCTGGCTTGGAACTGCAAGGTGGAGTTTTCTTGGTAGAACATTTTTCTCTCTCCTCAGGTGGCAGTTTGTACCTTGCCCCCCAAAGAATGGCATTGAGGCTGCACTAATCCTTTTTTGGGGGGAAGCTGTGACACATCTGTATGAGGTTATCACTAGGATCTAATTAGTGGGACATGGCAGCTGGGCTGTGCAGACACCCTCCTGACTCTGTACCTGTTGTCTGCGGGTGTTTAGTTCACCTGCTTCTGGCACCTGGGGGAGCCCTTTGCAGAGCTAAAGTAAAGTAACCATCATGTCCAGCCTGCTGAAGTCTGGGGGTGAAACATCAGGAGACCAGATTTCACTCTCTTGCACCATAAAAGGCTCTTGAAGGCATAGAAATCCTGAGGAAAACAAGGCTAAGAGCTGGAAGATGCCTTGGCTGGTTGCACTGCAGGAATG